AGATTTTATGGAAAAAAAAAAAAAGATATAAAACTGGTTGTGATTTAGCAAACAAAACTGTTTATAAGATGGAAAAAAATGCTCTCGATATTCAAAATGTTCAAGATCAGTATATGATAAAAAGACCAAAATTTGTTAAATTTTTCCTTGTCAAGACTTTTTAGCGCATTTAACTTAAATCTGTAATCATTGCCAAGCATAATGTCAACATAAAAAGTTACCATACTCTTTTATTATTTAATTTCTAACATAAAAATTGTGTAGGGTACGAACTGCGCGAAATTTGATCGAAGATCTCTCCTCCCTCTTATCTAATCCACGAATTGCGCAACGTTTTATTGTCCCCTCTTTCTAAGAACTTGAATTCCCAAGAAGATGGGCGCTACAAAAAGTCATTTATTGCCATTAATGGGACATTTTATTGAGACTGCAAGCTTCTATTTTCGTTTATCAATATTGTAGAAATTGTGCATACAAAACAAATACTAATTTAAAATCTGGCGTGTGCTAAGTAAAAATGTAATTAAAAAGTAAAAATGAATTTCTTTTAGACTTATTTTAAAGTTTTATGATGCTTAAAAGAATAATGAGCCAAATCTTTTTTATTCTCTGTAAGAATTAAAAACTTTCCAAGTTTGTAATTAGCTATTATATATATATATATATAATATATATCATTTTTGAATAATAAATTGAAGATTAAAACTACATAAAACGGATACATAATAATCTATCAAAGTGGATTTGTACTGACTTTTATTTATTGAGAACCTGATTCCTCTCATATTAATTTGCGTACTTTTATAATTCTTTTTCTAGATAATTTTAAAAAACTTTTAGCATAATAATTTAAATTTATTTACATTTATACTCAGTGTTCCAACGCATAGTAATGTGGTTATAATAGATTTCAAGCTAAGCTTTTTTTAAACTGACTTATTCTTTCTGCAACAAAAAAAATTTTTTAGCACATTTAACATGGAATCTTTTTGCACGCCAGTGAACTCTATTAATTTTCCCAGTCTATTTCAGACATCTGACTATTATTGATGTAATTTTAAAAAATATTGGTTATGTTTTATAATATTTAATAAACGCAGATGTTTTGTAATTCTATAGTCTGTTTACCAATATTTTTATTTCTTTGTTAGCTGTTGCTTTATTACGTTATTAAGTATTAGCCTCTTGTAAATATTTTTTACTTTTTGTGTGATATAATTTCTATTCTCTTATTTTTATTTTCCTCTTGGCTACAATTTTGCTTCAAAAGTTGAATTGTAACCCTGTAGGCAACAGGGGGAAGAAATTTTGATTCGCACAGTTGCACTATAGCAGGGCCGGGGGGGGGGATTTTCATTCGCGCATTTGGAATACACCCAAAAATTGTTTAGGCATCGCTACATAAGTCATTTACTCAAGTTGCCATGTCTTGATAAACATGCAGCAATGAAAGAAAATCATAATAAAAATATGGATTTGCCAGGTTGGCGTCATATCAACATTGTACTTATGTGGAATGTTTCGGTTTGAGATGTGTTCCAAAGCAGATACGCAGCAATGGAGCCAAATTACTGATTGTATAAATTTATGCTAAAATGATTGATTCTTCAATAGCAAGGTATTTTATTTAGTGTCAAAGTGAAATTAAGAATCAGGACATTCCAGATGTTTTATTATGAGCGAAAGGGGGAATCAAATGGGCATGCGTAAAGCCTACGAGAAAATGTAGTTGGTGGTTTTGAGGTAGGGATTTTAGATTATTCTGGATAATGGACGTCCAGATTTTGAACTTTGTACTGTACTCCTTTTTGCGTTAGGGTTGCTGCAATTATTTTTGGCAGCACTGGCATGAACAATAATTTGGCAATTTTTTTACAGTCCTCAAAACGGAATAGTACCAAAAATTGTAGCTACATGTTTAATAAAGAGATTACATCTTTATTCGTGGCAGATGAAGAAAATATGATTATGAATATATACTTGAAAAGTACAGAAATTTGGCTTTAGAGATAAACAGATCAACAGAATTTGAACAGACATGGAAAAGAAATGTTTATAAATCACATTCTCAAGAATCAGTAAAAACTAACTTTTTAGAAAAATATTTTTTCATGGTCAAAATTAAAGAAGTGTTATGTGTTTCAATCACAGAATTGAAATGGTAAATAAACATGGGCGTAAAAAAATGTATCTACATAAAAGATAATGATACATAACTCTGAAAAATAAAACAAGATATTTTGTAATTTTCATTTTCTAACCAGTGAAATAGTAACGTGATTAGGATTCAGGCAATTTAAGGAAGAAGCAGTATTTTCTAATTATTTGTATCCCCACTGGAAAGTTGCAAAGTCATTGTCGACTTTCTAGAAAAATATTTGTTTGGGTATTTTTATGTCTATTTTAATGATGCATCCAGTGCTACCTGTTCTTTTCCATATAAGACATGCATACTTTTCTTTGTGCTGTTTTTTTCCCTGTGTACATACTGATATGTTTTTGTTAAAAAGATATCAGAGAATTCTACAAACTCAGCATTGTACAAAATCTTGGCACTTAGATCCTAAAGGCAAAAAAGAGGCATATGATACCTTTGAGCAAGAGAATTAATGTGTGCAAAAAAATTCAGTTTCAGATTTTCACAAAGACAATGAAACCTGGACTATGTAGTCCACTGCTATGCTAAAATATTAAAATTCCCCTAGGAAAGATCATAATCTGGAGTCACACTGGCCAAAAATTTTCAGAAAAGTGAAAAGTCATCTGGGGGCATGATATGTGCATACAGGATACTTAAATTACTACATAAATGTTTTTTGCCAACATCATGGGTTGCCACACAAATACTTTTTGGCAACATGATGTGTTGCTTCATCAGTACCTTTCCATAGCTTTTTGATGGGGCTGTGGACAGTCAAAAACTACTGAAAGAGCTTATGATTTAGCTTTTAAATATCTATATGATAGGACTACAGCAGACTCAATCAGAAACACCTAATCTTAAAAATCAATTATTCTAGGACACACAAGCTGCTTCAAGATTAATTTTTTTAAAGTAAAATCACAAACACAATTTAAGTCAATCATATTGGAATTTGGAAGATGCATTAAAAGTATTTTTATGCTGCCAGTTGTGGCAAGAAAAACTTCAAATGATAGAAAATTATTAAGATCTCTACTTGGTCAAGACAAATGGTAAAACAGTACTTGATGATTATCTGCACCCCAGCCATGAAATCATGAAAAATATTCACGAGCAAAGCAAAATGTTGCCAAAATAATTAATGTGGCACTTTTTTATATAGAGATTTTATATAGATTTTTTATATAGAGACAATTTTGGCAAAATGCATTTATAATTTTTATTTATTTTTTATTATTTATTTATTATAATTTTTTCAATTATTTGTATTACCTTTATGTAAATAGCACATGTCTGTTTTGGCCAGTGTGTAATGCCATGTTTGCATGGAAACCAAATTTGCACAATTTCCCGATTTTTTTTAAGCAACAACAGATCACTATTTACATGAGAAAAATAAAAGTGCAGAAAAGATTGATCTCTATATAAAAAAGTTTGTGTTTTATTACCAACATTGCCTGCTCTTTAAATTTTGCTTATTGATTGCTCTTGTATGGACTTCTTAATGTGTCACCATTTTGAAAATGGCTGTTACTTTTTATGGAATAGCTTGGAGGAAACGTAGTCAACAACAAATTTGCGACTTTTTGGTTGAGCGTGCGGATAGTCAGAAAGAAGCAGAAAAATTTTCAAATATGATCATTCTCTCTATAGAACATTGGTTAAGTAGATTAAAAAAAAAGTTAAAAAGAAAGAATATTTTGCTTCATTAAAAGCAAGAAAAATTAAAATTTGAAAAATTAATGCAATACTTTTCACATTAGTTACAATATTTCATTACCATTTGCCATTTATGAAAATGGTATCCTTTAAGAGGAAAAAATATTTCAATCCCGTCAGTTTCATGTTAAATGATTTTCACAGTAATTTGAAGTTTCTGTACAATATGGAATGAAAAGGAAAAAAAAAAAAAAGAATTAATGACTGGTTGTGTGTAAGAAGGTTTACTTAGTGCCTTATAAGTTCCGTTTGTGAAGGAAATGAGTATTTCGAACAAAACAGTGTTCAGTGGTTTGATGGATTTGTCACGAGAACGGTTCAAAATGACACCATATAAAGGCTCATAGGGAAGGGACACGGTTTGAGGAACGTTTTTTTGATTTGTGTTAAGGAAAAATTTTGTGTGAACACTGAAGACACAGACATTTCTAAATAAGGTAAGTTGATATTGCCTTTGCATTAGTGCGTAGATGCATTAAGATGCGTTTTCTCTTTTATGTTATTTCATTGTTTGATTTAAAATGCAGTTTATTGAGATTATATATTTTTTGTTTAGCTCTAGTGTAGAATTGGGCACTCCTTCGATTTTTAAGTAAAAATATATTGATGTGTACATGGACAAAGCCAAGTCAGTGCATAATGCTGAGTTTTACATGTGTACATGGACACAGAGTTTGTGCAATTCTTCGACTTGTTATTTTGGTTTTATGTAGTGGCCATCTCGAAACTGTGCCTTGCTGCCACCAATTTTGTCGTCAAAAAAGAATCGCTGAAAAAACAAGGGGCACCCAATTGTAAACTTTTACCTTTTATTTTAATTATGTTTTACTGCATTATATTTTGGACGCCATTTTAGTGGGGAGGGTGTTGGATGTACACAGGAATGGCACCAAAAAATCACCAATTTTCGCCAAGGAGCACTCTGAAATTTTATTTTAACTTTTATTTTTTAATACTATTTAAGCCATTATTTGCTTTCATTTTAACATTTATTTTAATACTATTAAAGCATTTACTTTTACATTTTATATAACTCTTAATTGAAAAAAAAAAAAAAGGAGAGAAAGAGAAATATATAAGAAGAAAAATTTATGCACAAAACTAATAATATAGTTTAAATTAAAAAAAAAAATCATACATGCTTATAAAAAGTAATCCAAGCATTTGAGCTTCTTCATACAGATCCCCTTCTTCTATGTGTTTCACAGCTTCCCATGACCGCTTTAAGGGAGAAAAAACATATCAATTTCATTGCAAAATAAAACCTTAAATTATAAGTACATAAGAATTTTCTTTAATATTATGCATAGCGGTACCTTGCACAGTGAACGTCTTGCCTAATGAATTTGGCCCTGCATTATGAGCTGCACAGACATTTTGTCATGCATTAAACATAGAGCTAAACTGATTTTACTTTCTGCTTTAAGGGCACATAAACACAAAATACAGCCTGCGCACACAGATAACAATGAGCTTAGAAGATAAAAAATTAACATTTCTTAAAATTCTAACTCTACTGAAGAACTAGACAGCCTTCTTAACCAAGAATATTAGGAAAAGAAAGTTTTTTGGTACTATTCGGTTTCGAGGGCCGTAAAAAATCGCCAAAAGCGTTGATGCCAATGCTGCCAAAAGAATTAATGCAGGAAAGGTAGATAATAGTAAATAACTATCTAAGATGGATTTTTATTAGTAAAGTTCATTTCATATAATACTTTTTATTATTATAATTTATATAAAAAGGCTAAACATGACGAATGGAAGCATAAGAGTAAATAACTATTTCAGATCATTATTATATTTATAAAAAATTGCAAACATAACGAATGGATGCCTGCATCGCTATTTCGTTACCGACTTTATCGCTAAAGCATAATTTCATCTGTTGGTTGTCAACTATTGTATAATGAATGATGCCTTTTCTTGAAAAATTCTCGGTAAATTGCAGAATCGCCACTTATTTTTTTACAAGGGTAAAACAATGGATTTTGTCAATTTTCTTTTACTTTTTAAGTGAAAATAGGTCGATGTGTACATAGATAAAGTCAAGGGTGTGCACAGTGCCATTTTTGTGACAATTCTGGGATTTTTTTTTTAAGTGAAAAATAGGTCTGTACATGGATACCGAGTATGTGCAATTTTTAAAACGCGTCAACGTGGGTGATTCTGCACTTAACCCAAAATTCTATTGCCGACTTTCGTCATGGGCAATTCCCAATTTTTAAAAAAATAGGATATCAAAAAGGATTTAAAATCAAAAAAGGATTTAAAAATTAAAATAGTATTTCAATGGCGTTTTAAGAAATATAGAACTACATAAACTTACGCAGTCTGAAATCAGCTCATATGCTAGATTTGGCGCGGTGTTAAATGGGCAAATGGCCACGTTTGCTAGATTTGGCGATTTTGAAAATACATTTTCATTGCAATTTTTTTACTGTCCTCAAAACGGAATAGTAACAGTTTTTTTTTTCTTTCAGAAGGAAGTTCTTTTATGATGAGGAGGAAAGAAACGTAAAGGGCCAATGTTTACAACTATAAGAAATCAACTAAAAAAGAGGAAATTAAACAAATTCTACAACCCTTAAAACAAAAATTTCTTTGAAAGTAGAAACACATTCGGTTCACAGATAAGCTTATGCTAAGGACAAAGTGGCTGTCAATTGATGACAATGCTGCATGCTACTAGAAAGGAGAGGAAAAACCTCCTTAGACAACATTTTTACACCTGGACCTGTGCAAAATTAAAGGCAGATGTACAAGTAAGATGGATAAGTCTTCTATTTACAGTTAAAGACTCATTTTAAACTGAATTAAAAAAAATTATTGTCTACATAGTGTACATAAATAATTCTGTAATTAATAAATTTGCAAATTCCTAGTATTTTCAATATTGGTGGTGCTTTTAATAGTTTCTGAAATTTTTACAATATTTAATGATGCTGTATCGAGTTCAGGAATGGAATAAAATTATTTCTATAATTACTTTTGAGAAATAGCATCTCACATAATGAACACCATTATGACATGAATCATACGAAGCACAACTGCACACAGACACATATTGCTAGTACTTAGGTAGTACACATATTGCAATCACCATAGTAGAAGTCAACCAATTTTCAAAAGTGTTCTTACATACAGCTAGAATTGCATCATTGGCACTTCATACACATTCCCTTTGTTGTATTAGGCCAATTTTAGAAAAATTAAGTTTTTTACGCTTGAACTCATTTTTCAAATATGTACCTGTGAGATCTGCCTGCAATAGGAATAACTGTGGTAAAATTTCTACAGGTAAACAGTATTTTGGTCCAAAACCGCTAAAGGGAATAATTGCTTTTAATCTTTAAAGTGATGCCTACAAACTTTTCATAACAATAAATGAAATACAAATTTTCTCACAAATCTGTTTATAGTGCTTTTTTAATATCAAAATTCTATTGAAAAAATGCAAAAAGTATACATGAGGCAAAGAAATATGTTGCCAAAATAGATATGTAGCAAACCATGATGTCATCAAAATATATTTATGCGGCAAGCCAGGTAAGAATTGGAGGATCCCTTCAGTCCACCTGGACACGAGTGTCCCTATAGTTTAAAAGAAGGGCAGCCAGTGACCCCACCCCCAAAATAATAATAATAATAATAATAAATAAGTAAGCACACCTAACACAAAATTACGAGCAAAAAATCACAACATAGAACAGCACAGATATCTAAAACCCATATAAATACAGAATACAATTTTAACAGAAGATTCCTATAAGCACACTATTTTCATTAATAAACTTCATTAGAGCAATGGTATATGATTTAAAAAAATTTAAATTAATGGAACTTGCATTAAAATCAGTAATGATTTTTAACATTACTGATTTTAATGCAAGTTAAAAATCCGTCTAGCAGCGGCTGTTAAACCATGATCAACCACAAAATGCCTATCATCACCTTCAACCTGACAACTATTACATAGTTTATTTTCCTGCAGATTAAATTGGTTGAAATAGAATGGAAACCTACCATGTTCAGTTAAATGCTGATTAATGCCAATATTATTCATACATTTCATCTTATTTCATCTTGTTAGTTCCGTAAATCGTTTGTTTTTAGATGAAGAGAACCACTGTGTTTTCTATTTGTTAATGTAAAACTCTTTCATTCTTTTAATAGTAATTTTCTTCAAGCCTGTTACTTCAATATCAATTGCACTGACATTTGAAACCGCCTGCTTCGCAAGGCTGTCTGCCCTCTCATTACCAATAAAGCCTATATGGGCTTTATAAGAACTCAAAATTTCTAAGCAACTTTTAATTTCAACAACTAATGGAAGGAAATTATGTGGGCAGGAGAGCACATGGAGAAGTGACAGGCAGGTCAGTGTAAATATTTACAGATGTGGATATACACTAGGTATTTTTAATCTATAATAAAGCTTGTTTGAAAGCTTTGCTTTCTACTTGGAAACTGAATTATATGTATTCAACTTAAACATTCTACAGTCTACCTCAATTCCATAGTAAAAAACAACAAAGGCAACTCCTACGCTCCCCCGATCCCAGAACCATATGTATATACGAGGCAAAAATTCGGAAACTAAGTACCGTTTTGAAAAAAAAAAAAATAGGAAACCAATTTTTTCGAATCCAATTTTATTTTTGACATGAATACCTGTCTAAAACTATTTTCAACATAATTCCGCCAAGGATCAAACCCTTGACATAGCAGGGACCATTTTTGAACCACTCAAAGAAACTTCCCGCATTTTCGATAACACCTCCGGCATTTTTCATGTCACGTCGACCAATCGCTGCCACAGCTCGCGCTCATGTGCAGAACAAGTGATAGTCGATCCGCCAGTCCGTGCTGTATGGCGGGATCGACGCTTCCCCACTACACTGTGAATACCGATTAGTGACACACAGTAGGGGCCGAGCAGTGTCATGGGCACACAATCGGTACTGAACATGCCGCTGGTTTGTTTTGAATGCACGTTTTGTAGTTTTTGTTAAAGCACACAATACGTGTCGCCATTAATGGTTGCACCTCTGGAGAAATTCAGTAGCAAAACGCTTTCTATCCAGAAGACAGTGACATGATTTTTTGTGCTGACTTGTCACTTTGAATCTGTTTTGGTCGAAGAATGAGTGTTCTCCACACCACCGATTGTTGTTCGATCTGTGTGAAATGACACAGGGCCCAAGTTTCCATACCTGTCACAATTGGTGTAAAAAGTTTCTCCCCATCACTGTACCCGTGAGAAATGTCAGGGACGACAAGTGCATTGTTTTGTGAACATGATGACATTTTTGGAACCCATCGGGAACCAGTTTGTCGATAATTCAAGCGTCGACCAATTCGAACAAAGTATGAATTTGTGAACTGCCATCTGAAAGAGTTGTCATTGTGAACGTCTGTTCTATGACTCACTCATCAACTTCCTACAAATCATCGGGAAAAAGAAGGCGAACCACTCTGATCCCGGCGTGGACGTTTTTTCACCTGCCTTAGACATTCTTACCCCGGGCTCACCATTCCATACGTGTCGCGGCGGCACCCAAATTCGCACTGACGTACATGCAGCCGGTGAACTTCCTCGCGTTTAAAAATTTAATCACGGCTGAATCCACAGCCGCGGAGAACCAATTGTCTTAACAGTTGAAGGTGCACAGCAAACGAAACAACAATAGATCACCAAATGGCGACAATTGAAAGTCATGAACAAAAAATAGTGCGCAGCGCGGGACCCTACCACAGAGCTGCGACGAGCTAGAAGGAACGGTACTTAGTTTCCGAAGACGCTACGTTCTCAGATAATCCCATTGGAAAACTTTTATCAAAATCAAAACCAAATCTATTGGAAGGATGTATTAAATGAATATTAAATTTTTCAAAAACATTTTTTGTGACCAAAAAATCTTCATACTTTTCAATTCCATTTGTCCAGTTCTAAGTAAAAATTTATCATAATAAAATTCGTATAAAATTGAGCAGCCAACAAAAAGATGGTCTCGGTAGCCATTGTTTTAAAACAGCGGGTTGTTACTGTATGCTTATTTTCCTAGTGCTCCAGCTCTGAGCTTAATGCAACTGCAATATATTAATTGCCATCACTTGCTTTTCTATACAAAGGAATTTTGCCAGGACAGAGTTACCCCAAAATCTGCTCATTTGCAGCAAGTGTGTAATACACAGCTTAAAGCTATACAGTCAAGAAAACAATACTGTTAACATAATATGGTACAAAGGTTTAAAATATATAATATAAATTTACTTACGAAAACAGGACTTGTAATATCAATTTGGAGATCTTTTAAACAGCATTCAAACACTCTAATCATGAAATCTGCCTGAAAACAAAAAGATATATTTACCTAAAAAAAAAAACCTTTCACTGAATAAGAAAATTCTGTATAAAACATTATAAACTCTGTATTAACCCTCTGGCTGCTCATCCCGCGATTTCCACGGGCAACTCAAATGTACAATTCGCTATCCGCGGCATGTGTTTTTCTCCTTATGAGGATGATCCCGTTTTTTCCACATTTAAACACTGAAAGAACTTATATACAGTATTAGATGTTAATTTACATTTGGCTACGAGGTATCGTATTGCCACTAAATTGCGCGTTGAAGGCCGTGGGTAGACCACTCCCACTCCACATTTTTACAGCTTTTTTTTTTCATACATGGCTGCTAGAAAACATGCAGCATTTTCTTGATTAGTTAATTAAATTATTGAATTAGTAAGTAATTTATTGATCTGGTGTAAACTTAAGTTGGACTTTGCTTGACCCGTTGTGATTCTCTCGTGTAAACTGCATTTCAATGTATTTTTCCTCATCTTTATATGTTCTTAAATTTTATACTTTTTAACCTTTATATATCAAAATAGAATTAACGTAATCGACTCAAACTATTAAAAAAAAGTTTGTTGTGACAATCTGAAACTGGTTTTCTGGCCACTATTTTTCATGATAAAATCTATATAAAAAAATATTTCTTAGATAGGAAAACCTGCATTTTCAATTCTCCAATACTATGGATTCAAATATGAAAAAAAAATTACACAAGTTTGAGCGATTTGATCTAAATTGAGCAGTCGAGGGTTAATGTACAATAATTATTGAGACAATTCTCACAAAATGATCGGCCATTATAATTTTTTTTTACTTTTTAACATAGGAGAAAAGCTTTCAAATAAAACTTAAAGAATATTTTCCCTCACATACTTATCTTAGCTTCTCTTTGTCCTAAACATTTGAAAAATTAAATAGTAATTTTAAAATAATATTTAAGCCGAATAGAAAGATATAAAATTTATCGGACATTTGCAACTTTTTTTCATTAAAATCTCTACAATAAATACAAATGAAATTTTTATGGATTTAATTTGAATAAAGAGGCTAGGCAAAAAATCATTTGCTTTTATAATTCAAACGTTTTCTTTAGAAAATATTCGTTATTTTAATGTTTTCTTGCAATGGCTCGGTCACGAAAGGAAACATCGTTAGAAACCTGCAGATTAGTCATTTATCTACATCAAAAGGGAAATCTATTAGAAAAATTGCCTGTTTACTTAATTTAAGTAATTCTACAGTTTTTGATATTATTAAGCATTATAAGATATAGAAAAAGATAGATAGATAGATATTCAAAACAAAAGAAGCCCTGGAGGAATATCAAAAAGGATCCAGATTGAGTGCTCCCAAACTTGTGGAACTTCATGAATTATATGGAATATGTGCAAATCCAGAAACTGTAAGAAGAGTAATGCAATTTGCAGGATATCATGAGCGAGTAGCAAGAAAATGTTATGTCAGTAAAAAAACGTAAAACTTTGACTTGCTTTTGCAAAATTAGTTAAACAACAGACACACGACTAGAATTTCGGAAACAAAACTTAGTACTAAGTATTAAACATGGCAGAGGAAGAATTATTGTATGGGAATCTATGGTACATATTTTGGTGTTGGTAATATAGAGTTTGTAGATGGTATTATGGTTCAGTATAAATACCTTGTTATTTAGAAGCAAAATTTGACATCATCAACACAAAAACCGGTACTTTTCTGTTTCGCCGGCACAAATCTCGCTGAGCAGACTTTACTGGCGACAACACACGGTATACACATAAAACATGTTAACAAATGTTAGTTCAAAGCATTTTTTATTTGAAGGCATAAACATTTATATATTTTAAAATTTGTAAGAAGGCAATAAATAAAGACATAAATTTGTAACGAAATTAATTTAGGAATTACTATGCTTTATGTACGCATCCTGATGCGTGGTCATATCACGTGACCAATGATCAGCTCACATAAACTACAAAGCTAATGCTCTCATAATTTCAAGTCTCCATTATTATGCAGCACATTAATTCAAGTTAAATCTTAATGGATAAAGGGAAAATGCAAGAATCATTTTGTCGTAAAGAGCTTACTGCAGAAATTATGTAAACGCATGCTTTACTTCCTATTGCAGTCGCATTAGAAACTGATGACGTTAACCCGACTTTGCTTTCTTATTTCCTTCGGATGAACGTTGTGATTGCTCCTGATGACTTCTGCAAAATGCAATTTATGCAGTATTCCAAGAAAAATTGATAAAAATGATTGCGACTTGTTTCAAAAATGAGGCGTAAAAGGTTACCAGCGAGGATATTCCGTTTGGCATCGGTTGTACCATTTTCGATGACTTTATCGCTTGCGCCGGCAAAATGGAAAAGTACTCAAAAACCATATACAAAATAGTTTTAAATTCTACCAGGACAATGATCCAAAACATACTGCACACACTGCTAGGCTCTGGCTGTTATATCAGCAGAAGAAGTAAGTAAGGTTCTACCTCAATCGCCAGATCTTAATCCTAATGAACATATTTGGCAGGAACTGGAATCAAAAATTTGAAAAGAGAGCATATCAGCATAAAAACTTCATATACAAAATAGTTTTAAATTCTACCAGGACAATGATCCAAAGC